CTAAGGTGTTCAATAATTATCCTGTAATTATGAATCAATTCTAACTAGCCCAGCTTCCAGTTTTCTTGCTCAGACTGCTAGCCGGCGTTCCGCCACAGACGCGTACCTAAATTGTAGGAAAAACTTGTCTGCCAGTAGCAGGCCTCCAAAAGAACCCGTTTTTACTTCATCTTTCCAGCATTTGCTACCTTTTTTTTTTTTGTAAAAACTGATTCACACTTCCCATTGAATAAAAGGATAATTACCGCAAAGGGTGAGGAAACCATAGAGTTACACTGAGGGCTTACTTAGAGCCGTGAAATAAGCTGCGCTTCAGATAGCTTCAGAGAAAAGACATTCTCGTTCTTTTTTCAGTTGTTTTATCATATTCCTATATATTTCATTTTATTCTTAATATGGAATCTGAACTAAAATGAAGAAAAGACATTCTCGTTTTTTTTTCAGTTATTTTATCATATTTCTATATATTTAATTTTATTCTTGATATGGAATCTGAACTAAAATTCATTTTGGTTTTGTTGATTATTGCTGCCAGTCATCTTAATCGATATCTCATATCATAGAATAGTGTTTTTGGCGCTCAAGTGATGCTCTACGACGGAGCAAAACGATATAGCCGGAGCTTTCTGATCCCCTATCTAAAGCTTGGAAGTTTCATTTTAGAATCGAAACTGTCGCAAATTGAACCCTCTCTGCACTGTGAACTAAATTGGCGGAGGCGACTAGATCGGCGAATGGGGGACGATAATCTAAGCGTATCTTAATTGAAATAGTGTAAGTTATATAACGAGCTAACGTGGAGAGAAAAATAATATTGTAAGCGCGTATTTCGATTTAGTGGAATCACCATCCGGTGCACAAGTTTACAATAATATATGCCATGAACAGCCATTCAATCCCTGTGAAGCAATAAAAAATATTATGAGTCTACCGATTTATTAAGATTGCCGATTACCACATTTCAATCAAGGTTCATAATTTCCTAAACAAAAAGATGATATTGAACTAAGCATGTGTCTTTTTTTTTATTTCGATAATTTATTGAACGCCACGACTAAGGAAGATGAGCCGCAGAATGCTACAGATAAGGCTATTCGCGCCTACAGAGTCTATGTCTGCGAAAGTACCTATCTTTTTTTTTTATCAAAATGATGCCTGCGAACGGGGTTCATGATTTGTTTCTCTATAGTAATGTGTTACGCTTGAAGAAAGACATGGCTGACTACATTTGTTTTCTTTCCGAATTTACTTGTGCGATTTGCAGCATGTTTTTTTTTTCAGCCCTTCCGCTTCATTTTTGGTGTCCCCCATCCACTTCAGGATCACCGAAAGGGTCCAGTCGCCTACGAATTAGTGCGACGAAAGCTTAAGTAATGACGTTTTGCCACTCGGCGCACTCCCGAGGAATGACACGACGCACATGGTTCAACAACGCGTATTCATTTAGGGACTGTTGCTGGAGCGCGCCGCGACCCAAAAGCCCACCTCGCCATACTTCTCCGTCTATCTTTCATCAGCGGCGTAGTAGCGCCCGCCTGGCCGCTCGCACTTTGCCACCTCTCGGTAGAAAAAAAGTCAAGGACAATTTCACATGCAGCCAAACTCGTTCAACGCCTTAGTCACAAGGTTGCCACAACCTATGAGGAAAGTTTCCTGCACGAGTGCTCTGAGACAAACCTCTTGTGCTGGCAACTCTTCTTATTTGAGATAATCTTACAAATTCCTTTCTGTTTAAGACATTCCACAGTTATCGGAAGTTTTAAACGAAGCTAGCATCTTTAATGGTAAAGTATTTTGTTGTAGTGGGCATATTATTGTAGGTATATGCTTAAATTGTTTGCTTCAGGGGTTTACAGCGAAACCGAAAGTGCTGGCTCCAAAAGGACGGCAACACTGGTACTTGATAGCGACGGTCGCGGACGCGTGACGTTACGTTCGTACCGCTGAACGTTACGAGGAAGGGAAAGTTGCTCCTAATTTAGCCCCGGTGCTTTATATATAACGAGGAGGGGAGAACGTGATTATTGAATTTATTCTATTAAAGTTAGGGAAAGTGAAAGGGAGAGATAGCTGCGAAAAATTGGACCAGGAGCGGAGATTGAACCCGCAACTTTCGCCTGTCCGGGGCGACGCCTTAACCGATTAGACCATCCCGGCCACTGGTTTCGGCGGACTCAATTTCTGACCAGTTCTCTGTGTACTGTGTAGTTTCGAATTCGCTTAAGTTGGTAGACGACAACCGTTGCTGATTTAAGGCCCGCGCTATTTCCGACATGCGACAGTGACGTGCCACGTCAGCTCAGCTTGCAAATGTCGGAAAGGGCCCGTCTTCCAAGATATCTAGGGAACCACTCCTCCTCATAGGGAGGCTGCACCGTATAATTAATGGGAATGAGTGAAGGTTGACAAGTGCAGCCGTAGTAATATTCTGAATGAAGAGGGGAGAAAGTGATTATTGCATCTATTGCATTAAAGCTAGGGAAAGGGACAGAGAGCTGGAGAAAAATATGGCCTGGAGCGGGGATTGAACCCGACACCTTCGCCTGTCCGGGGCAACGCCTTAACCGATTAGACCATCCCGGACACTGGTTTCGGCAAACTCAATTTCTGACCAGCTCTCTGTGTACTGACGAAAATAATCCCTGGAGAAGGGAAACAAAGGGACAAAGGACAGACACAAATCTCCAATTCCCCTTCTCCAGGGATTATTTTCGTCATTCTTGTCCAGCTCGCTTGCCCCTTTGCATTTAATTGCATTATAATTATCTCTGTGTACTGTTTAGTTTCGAATTCGCTTAAGTTGCTAGGCGACAACCGTTGCTGATTTAAGGCCTGCGCTATTTCCGACATGCGGCAGTGACGTGGCACGTCATCTCAGCTTGCAAATGTCGGAAAGGGCCCGTCTTCCAAGATATCTAGGGAACCACTATACATATATATAGTACTTGTTAGATAGATTATGATGTATTCTTCAGAAAGTTTGCGATCGAAATTATGGCTTCAGCACGCTGAATTAAAATTGAACGTCCATTGAGGGCGCAGTGCGGCCAGCGCGATCGCTGTGCTTGAACCGATCTACTTTTTTTAGTGTTCTTAGAGAAGAAAATTTAAACTTATATGCTATCTAAAGGTGGATTAAAAGTTAAAACTACTGCGCCCTACTATCAAGAGGAAACGCGGCAAAATTTTAATAAGATTCACGCATCATACGACAGATTTCCCGAGGGTGTTCTGGACGTCTTCTAAAATTAAGTTGATTGCTTTGTCGATTGCTTTGTTGATTGCTTTGCAATCATCGGCGTGTGCCGGACGCCGATGATTGCCGTGTGTTAAGCAGCTTGTACTATCCACCCGCTGGAACAGCAGGCGGTCGGTGAACGAAGAACGCTCGCGCAGCATTATGTTTCAGTCTATAGTTGTTTGCGAAAAAGACAAAAAAAAGAGCAGCTGGTGCCAGAAATCCTCAGTCGGTTTTGTAGCTAGCCGTCCTAGAGTGATAACAGAACAGTCTCGATTTGGTGCTTGGAGTCTATGGCATCCCGAAGCCTATTCGGTTCCATTGTAGAAAACAACGCAAAACAACAAAAGAGACCAATACAAAGAAATCAGAAAATGCACTGACTAGCAACTCCGGTATATTCGTCTTTTACTTCTTCGCGATAAATAGGTAGAACCCAAAAGCACATTTTTTTAAACCGAACTTTCTCCTTTGTTTGACTCTCTAGTGCCCTGAAAGCTCAAAAAGCCATGGAATGACCGAAATTTAAGTTCATTTCTTAGCTAGGTACTTTGGCCTAATATTTCCAATCAAGTACCGAAGCTAGGCTTCACTGCCTTCTTTTCTTTTCTCCTTTTTCTGGCTCTTACGTTGTTTTTAGACCGCAGCTCTAAGGCGCCCGTTTCCGTCTTCAGTTGCGTGACATCGGCGTACGGCGTCGCCTAGCGTTGCCTTACGCGAGGCGACACCTCGCGTTGCATTACGGGACGTTTCCCATAATGACGTCACGGGAGTCACGAGGGTCTTTGCGCATTGCATTATGGGTAAAATTCTCCGCTATGTTTAGCAGAAATAATTCTATTTCCCGCTAAATTTAGCGGGCGACGTTTTCCGCTAAATTCAGCGGGAAATTCAGCGAAGACTTCCCGCTAAATTGGAGGGGAGCAGGAGAGGAGAAGAGGAGGGTACGGATGAGGAGGAGGGGCATGCACTCCTCCCCGCACCTCCCCTCCTCCTCTTCAAGAGCTGCGCTCTAATTCGGCTTGGCATGGAATTGTAAACATCTCGTTTCTTTTGTGCCTCACTTCGCGAGCAAATTCAAAAATGAGGTTCCATCTTTGGTTGTTCTCTAGTAAGCTGACATACCTGGGCCTAAGTCTCCAAACAAGCGAATGAGTTCTGCTTTCTGGGCAGCATGATACACAACTGAGACGATTCGAAGACATACTGCAGAGACTAACGAGGCAAATGCAAAAAAAAAAACTTAAATATAAAGTAGCAAGCATTCTTGCAGTAACAAAAAAAAAAAAAAAACCCTGGGTAGCCAAAATAAGGCGGCACTAAGAGTTGTGATTTATATAGTACTGTATTCCGGATGATAATTGTATATGCTTACAAGGTTGAGATGAACAGACACTTATACAAGTATCACCTGATACCTAAACTTGAGGGCGAGGTCAGTTTTCGGGATTGTATTCAGTTTTAAAATATGCCAAAGAAGGCAGACATAAAAAAAAGAAAACGTTTCGAAAACGCAACCAGCATGCGCTGCTGTAATCCCAAGTACGTAGCATGGAAGATGGTAGGCCGCTCATTACATTGAGAAAATACTCATCCGAAATGTAATATTTGAGAAAATTAATCCGCTGTGTTTTTTTTTTACAAACATACCGCTTTTGTGTTTCCAGTATCTGTGAGTTGAACAAATGTGTGTTTGAGGCATCCTGGGCTTATACCGTTCATCTTTATTTAATTCGAATGTTTATTTCGGACCTACACGTGGTCACCAAAGATAGCACTTATTTTTAATGTTCATGGGTGAAGACTCGTTGCAACGGAATGCATCCACAAAAGCTTGAGAATTTCCCATTGGAAGATTCACTCTGGAGAGAAAAGAAATGCAACTGAGGCTCCAGGAAATATTCTAAAATGCCTTGATCACTCTAATGAAATACATCTGGGCTTTTGAGAAGATAGTGTAAATTTAGCTTTTAAAATTATGAGAGCGCATTTTCTAAGCTTCTCTTCAAATATAAAAAAACAGCAAACTCCTCAATTTCTTAAAAATGAAAACAGTCAAATTTTGCAGATGAAGAAATTATACAAATTAACCCTTTGGCAGTGCCGTCAAATTTTGCGAAGGAAGGTACCATATTTCAGCAAAGGAAGTAGTAAACACAGGGGTGCATTTTTTTATTGGCTCCTGATCACTTCTATTATAAACATGTCATGCTTAACGTATATCATCCGAAATATGAGCGGAAGCACACGCGGTGGCATTCGCACGCTTTCAGTATAATGTCAGTGGTGCCGTATATGAAGTATTAGCGTTTACTTGTCTCCTCTCATTTCGTGGTTCATATGACTTCTGGTTGAAATAAGCACGCTAGATGGTAAGATTAGCGAATATATTTTTACATGCGTTCTGCGGAACAATTTTAATTACCATTTACTTTCTACAGAGGTACGTGTTCGTGTGTAAGGCCAACACATAAGGCTAAGATAGCAACGATAACTGAACTATTCGTTTTATTGCGGTTCAGCAAAAAAAAGTATTATTTGAAATCCTCGTTAACCTCTATTATTCTACTTTTGAAAAGTAAGATATATCTGTACCCAATCGGTATATAACTCAAAAGATAGGATATGCGTTTTATGCAATAGAAGTGGTTCAAGAAAATATGTACCCAAAAGAGAAAGGTATGGCTCGTTGAGAAACGTCGTCGGCGTTCAGAGTACGCTGCTTTTTAATACAAGGGCTGATTTAATTCCTGGACGGATTTTTTTTTGCCAGTTGAGGAGTAGACTTACAAGCTAGTTAGTCTTGTATGCTTCGAAATATTGTCCTTGTGCTTGTATGCGCTTATTCCAGCGTTCCTGCCACTGAAGAAAGCACCTCTGGTAGCCACTTTTCGTAATGGACTTCATTTATCACGTGGCGTTGGCTTGCACCTCTTCAATGTCGTCGAATCGGCGATCTTTCATTGTTCTCTTCAGTTGCGGCAACAAGAAAAAGTCGCATGGAGCAGCGTCAGCGAAGTACGGAGGTTGTGGGAGGGACGGAATGTTGTGTTTCGCCAGAGATTCATTTGTGGCCACAGCTCTGTGAGCTGGGGCATAGGCATGGTGTAGGATCCATTTGCCGGAACGCCACCTCGCAGGGCGATATCTCCGCACGGCGTCGTGGAGGCGTTGCCGGACTATTTTGTAGAAATCCTTGTCTACTGACTGGCCTCTAGGAACGTACTCATGATGAACGAGCCCGTCTATGTCGAAGAACGCTATCAACATGGTCTTGACGGTGGACTTCACCTGCCGCGCTTTCTTTGGTCGAGGAGATGATACAGTTTTCCACTGGGAGGACATTTGCTTTCGTTCTGGGTCATACCCGTAAACTCGGCTTTCGTCACTTGTGATTACGGAGGACATAAAGTTTGGATCGTATTGGACTCGCTCACGGAGGTCAGTGCAAATTGACACGCGATCATCCTTCTGTTCCGCCGTCAGGAGACGGGGCACGAATTTCGCTGACACAAGCCTAATTTGCAAATCTTCAGTCAAAATTTTCCGGCACGCACCGAATGCTATTCGAAAATCCTCTGCAACCTTTCTGATTGTCAGATGTCGGTCAGCGCGAATGATTTCTCGCACACGTGCCACGGTCTCCTCGGTGTGGGAGGTGGACGGCCTGCCTGGACGGGGGTCGTCTTCAAAGGATTGGCGTCCATTTTGTAAACAGGAATACCACTCAAATGTCTTTGATCGACTTATGCAGGACTGTTCGAAAGCTGCTTGTAACATTTTGTACGTTTCAGCAACAGTTTTTTAAAGACGGAAACAAATTGATGCACACACGCTGCTGATCTTTTTCCTCCATCGTGAAATGCTATGCACACTGCAGGTAGACGTTCACTTAGAGGCTTCCACAGACAAATGCGGGAAGATAAAGGCTTACAGTTATGCATTGACACTTGTACAGAGTTTCATCTGTCCTGCCTTGTTGCCACTTTGATGCCAATTATAGCTTCTCCTAAAAAAATCAGTCCCGGAATTAAATGATCAGCCCTCGTATATGTGAAACAAATTCCACAAAGCGAAATGCGAAAACGATATGTGTCAGTTTAGAATGTTTACAGCATGCTACTCTTGCAATAACAGTAAAGCATAGCTGACTTCAAATATGTCCATCTCCCCGCTCCCCCGCCTGTTAATGCATTATTCCTTAATTCAATATAAAAAACTACATATTTCAGAAAAGCAGAGGAGAATGCTGTATGATTTCTTTATGCTTAAAAATCGTAAAACGCATTTCAGGATTCCACTCCTCCCCAACTAGGATTTTCTCACCGGTATTTGGCAGGACTGTGGACGTCATTAACGATATCATATCGCAGCCTTCCTTCCTTAATGTCCTGGCACCAGATCTTAGAAAACAAAGGTGCATTATTACACACTGTTAACACAACAAAATTGTTAAAATATTACAATTGTTAATATTTTTATCCTGGTAATTTATTAAACGATACACAAATTTGGATAGATGATAAAGTTCGGAAATTCCTCGCATTACTAATTTTATAACCTATATTAAGCTATTTGCATGAATAGGAAACCTGAATACTCAAAGCCCCAGATGTGCTCTGTCAACGACATGTAGTAAACGGTTCATATAAACACTGAAAAACAGCAGCGCGCTTAACGTACAATATTTGTGAGCTATCATGAAACAAGGGCAATTATTTCGAGATTACTAATATAGCACAATTATTAAATTACACATTGTCGCGGGCACCTACCTGACCGTTAGGGGTTGCAGCTGAGTTTATAAACATGACTAGCAACTACATCATACAGCGGTTAGTATGATGGCCTTGCTGCTGAGTATATCTTCAGTGGCGTATGTTCGCATCGTCAAATTTGTTTTTCGCCCCAAAAACAACTTAATGACGACGCTGTAATGACGTCGCGTGCAAGCCACGTATACGTGCGCGGCATGAGTCTGAAGCAAAAGTTCACCCAAGCTGTCTTATTGTTATAGTGCAGTTATTAGGAGCACATTGTAGTATACTATTCAGGATGTTTTTTAATCGAATACAATTTTTTCTCAAAATAGTCGTGAAAGATACGCAAATGCAGTTTCAAAAGGTGAGTCATACGGCCAGGCGTACATTAGGTTCAAGGAAGAATGCAAACGCTGAATAATAAAGAAAACGTCCCTAATTACTTTCTTAATTACACGGTTTAGGGTACATGTTTAGATTGAAAAATCGAGGCAATCGATGTTGAAGTCCAGCCAAGTTTTTAAGAATTATGGACCAAATCCAGAGCTCGAGTTATTCAATGTGAGAGTATGTTCTGAAAAGGTGTCGATTCTGTAACGAAACGCGCGATGCCCTCATAAAAGACAACCCTCGTATGATGCCAGCGGGTCACGTGTTAATAATTAATCGGCGTTACTTTTACGTCACAGCGTTTCGAAGCATTCACTTTTTGCTGAGTAGTTTATTTTCGGCTTTTGTTTATTTTTTATCCTGACTGGGCACCTATGTTTAATACAGTTTTCTGTGAAATCGCAACATGTCGCTGCAAACAAGGCGGCTTATCGCTTTAGTTCGCCAGCCACGTAAAAACGACTGAAATCATCTTCTGCGCGCTGACACAAATATAAAGACACAAATTTCGTCATTACCATGTGACCATCCCGCGTCAAGCGAGGGTTGTCCTTCAGGCGGGCATCGCGTATTTGGTTTCAGTATCGAAAGATCCCAGAACAAAACTTGAGAATGAATACCTAAAATTGCGTACTCGATCTAGTATTTTGAAAAACTGGCCTGTCATTCGACATTGATTGCCATCATTTCTTTAATATAGACATGGTCCCTAAAACATTTGAATAAAAATAATTTGTGAATACGCGAGAATTAGTCATTTGTTAGTTGCATTCTCTCTTGAACATAATCTCCCCTGGACAATATAACTCACTTGCCCAGAACTCATTTGTGTAAAATCACGCCTCTTTCTAGAAAAGTACCTATTCCATAAAAAAATAACCCTATATATTATTTCACCTAGCTTTATATGTACTAGGCTTTGGCAAAAATATTGCATAAGTGCTCTGAAGTATGCGGCGAAAGAACGTGTTGACGATATTTCTTTTCGCCACTTAAGATTTTGATATGGTTATGTAACATTCAACTTCTTCAATTATATGTGTTTCTGCCTCACTAAAGTTAGGTGCGATACAGCTAAAAACAGTTTTAAACCAGGGAGAAGCTAGCTTGTTTTGGTATTGCTATGCCACTGGAGGGTGCTTCCCGGTCATGTCGCCAAAAAGTACTGCTGAAGAACAAACATTTTTTACAGTGTATCATACAAGGTTTCTAGGAGTATTACATATATTCGTAATTTGTTAATTCTAAGAAGACGTTTTAGATGAAACTTACATGGGCATACGAAACAAAGAACAGCTGGTCTCCCGTTAAGTGTTCTAGACCAGGAATGAGTTGTTCGGTATCATTGAAGTTTTTCCATGCCTTAAAATGGATGAGTAAAAAAAAGTATGAGATTGATTTTTACCTGAATATATAGACTTCACACAAATGCTTTATTTTAACTGTTTAACCTGCTTACCAGATAGGCTGCTTTTAAACCAGAGTTATCAGCAATATTTTCACCTAGAGTAAGAAGTCCGTTTAGCTGAAAGAAGTGAAATATTCTATAATTTTAAACAGCATAGTAAAGGTGTGAGGTAATCACTCATACCTTTGAGAACAAAAATGCAAAAAACTTCTATCAAACCTAGGTTTGATGAAAGTTGTGCAAGAATTTAACTCAAAAGTGCGAGTATTTGAAAAGCTACGGCGTGGGTGGCACAAATGGAATGATTAATACAATGATTTACTCGAAACATGTCTGGTTCACCTTTTTATATCATGCGAAAAGGCATATTAAACAAAAATATACATTAGCGTGAGTAGGAATCGGACCAAGGTTCAACATCGATTTCGGCACATTCAGTAACTTAGCCATTTGTCTCTTCTGGTGTATTTCATTAGACATTTTAGCTTTCAATTTCCCTGTCTTTTATAACGTCACCCCCCTCTCTCTTTCTTTCAAATCTCATACTGCGTAATTAAGGTAAGATATCCGCACATTGCTACTCTATCAAGCATGTGCCTAGACTGTTTCAAAATATTCTATTCTAAGGCCGTTAAAAGAACACGGCAAGGAAAAAAATATATTTTTAAAGGGTATAGATGGGACACGTATTTTTTTAAAATAATGTTTCCACGAAAATAGTTTCTTGTTTTTTTTTTTGCGCAATATTTTCACCCTGAGACGCGATTTAGATGCAGACACTGGAGGTCGCACCTGGCTAAGCCCCGCCCCGTGCTTACAAGGCGCTTGCATTTCTCATTGGCTGGGGTGATGATTGGCCTGTGAAAGGTTGGTTGTAAATTTGTATCTACGAGCCATAATATTGTTTAGTCAACTATTTTTTCATGTTTGAGAAGAAAATATTTAAGTTTTAATTATTGATTTCAAATGTATCTTGAGATTGATTCTCCTGCTTTGGTTTTAAACATTAACGAACTTAAGTGGCGGCGTCAGTGGAGTGCTGAACGAGCGAAGCTCGCTGAGCTCGTCAATTTTATGAGTGCGAGTGGTTTTGGGTTTACAGGGGTGCTTAGAGGGAGGTCTCAGCCATCACCACCTGGACAGGAGGCCTACGCACGCGTAATGACAGTCAGATCTATTGAGACGTGAGATCAAGCACGAGTGATGTGTCAGTGTTCGGCTGGGGCTCGTATCCAATCAGCGCGTTGAAGGTCGGGTTGGGTCCAATAGCCAAGTTAGCGCGATCCGACTCTGATGATTTTTCATAGAGGGAGAGGAGACCACACGGAGCCCTGTTGTGTAGTTGGTGTCGCCTCAAACGACGTAGTTTGCAACATAAAACTGCCGCAAGTACGCGCCTTCGAAATCGTTTGCGGATGGGTGTCCCTGCGTTTTGCGGTCGTTTAACTTTTTTTTTCTCTCTCATACTCATTCTTCCGCTTCTTTAAGTAATATAATTTATTTCACATTCCCGCAAATCACATGGTCTATGCCTTCCTTTTTCCCCAACGGTCGTGACTGTTCCACTCGATGTTGCCAAGGTAACCCAAGAATCGGGCACACAACCCCTTCAAATTACGAAGAAATGCTGTTGGGGAAATTTTTTTTTTTTAGATGAAAGGGGTTTTACTTATGTGTTGTTTTAGAAAATAAAGAGAGAGTAATAAACAATAAACGAATTTGTTTTACTTTTGAGTGTTCTCATCAATTTGGAAAGGCTATTTCTAAAAAGACAGGATAACGGGTTAGAATATTGGTTGTGATATATGAACAAAACGTCATGATACATCATAAGAATAAACGTTTGTTGAGCGCTTTTGTGCTTCTAATACAATTCTTATCATATATCAACCAAATGTATCGTGCGAATGCTCTAGGATATGTTGAACGCAACTATCAAGGCTTCTTTAGAATGTATATTTTTATATTTTTTAAAAATGTAAAAAAAAATGAAGTATAATTCTTTGTAATTTTCGATTATTTTTACATAAAAGAGAAATCGCACATATTGGTTTTGTGGATCATTGCATTCAGACGTTTAAAAGAAGCGAATTATTTTATTTTACAATGGTCTTTTAAGCGTATTGCTGTGCCTCACGCGTACGCAAGAACATTGTTTTTGCATGTGCGTTGCAGCCAGAACATTGAAAAAAAACTAGCTTTCTGACACCAAACTCCAGATTTATAAAAAGAAACACTCATTTAGCATTATGAACTGAGAATTTAATTACGTTATCGTTAATAATAATCAAAAAATTCACCTGGCGTGTGACCTCTAAAACGGTTTCACCTAGCTAGATTGTACGACGCCTTTTCAAATGATGAACGTGTTTGCGTATAGGCTACTCTGTGCACACAAGGAAACCTGTATGCATAAAGGTCCAGTGTAAACACAGGTCCTTTCCGTGTACGGAGGAACCAGCCTATTTACCGGCTCTGTGTCCCCATAACATGAGAGTTAAATGGGTGTATTGGGACGAAGCTCCCTGACTGTAGTGGAAATATCAGTGTGTCATATCTATTCCAAATAAAATTAGAACTCCAATATATATGTAAGAAACTCTGCTTGTTCAAATTTTTAAAAACTATATACTATAAAATAATAAATAAATAAGTATGATTTAAAACGTAATAGTATATAAAAAATAAGCGAATTTCTTAAGAAACGGCGAGTTTTCGGGCGTGTTTTTCAAAAACCTGGAAAATGTACCGAGTTCTAATTTACTGTTGTAACACGCCCACTATTATTTAAAATAATGGTAAGAAATGTTTGTACGTCACTTACAGTCATGTTGACTTCTTTTACAGTTACGTTGTACAGCTGTACAAGGCAAACAGCTCTATTTATGAACTCTTGTTGTACGGCGGGTGTCCACCAGTTCCTCAGATTTCCATCAGCATCATATTGCATTCCTGGTGGTACAAGAGGCAACATTACCTATATAAGTATATGTCAGAATTTACATTTTCTAAACGCTGACATGAAGCAAGGAGCGCGCATCAGATTGTACATAGGCGGTGATAGTGTTAATGCAGTGCTGAGATAGGGAGTTCGGGGGGGGGGGGGGGGGGGAGGGGGGGCGGGGGGTTCTTCAAAAGTAAAGAGTTTTGATAAAGTGTCTCCGATCACTCCCATGCAAGTGTTTTCCCATGCCATTTCATCCTGTGCGTTTTCGAATGCTTTTTACAGATTTTCTCTTAAACATGACCTAGAAACTTTGCTTTCATCGTCATTACCGTATCGATTTGATATGTGTTCGTTCTGCAGGTTGTATATTTACGTGTGTGTTTTATATCAAGACTCAGTTCGCGCTGAAGCACGAGTAATTCAGCTATATTATATCTAAATTCTTGTTATTTTCCGGAGCCTCTTGGCGCCAGATGAACCTGACAGACCGAACAAGAGCCGAGAGAGTGCAAGCATGACGGCGCAGGCCACCGAATATTGGCTTTCAATAAATGGTGTCACTATGACTCGGCTTCTTCGTCTGGAAAAGCGGAGAGGCAGAGGGGCAAGTTTTCTTGCCTTTCTTTTAGGGCAGATTCAAGCAACGTCAAAACTGACTATCGAAAAGCGCTGGAAATCATAGACGACAAGATGTACCGGCACATGTACTTAACATGAATTGTGCAAGCTTGTTGAGAACCAAAGTTCCCTTGGGGTCTTAGAGGCATACCTCGGCAAACCTCAGTCATGACGGCCCTCCCTCACCCTCACTCCTTCTCATCTTCACATGCGAGGTGATGGTGAGTGAGTTTCTGAACCCCGAAAATTCATGAGTGTGAGGGTGAGTGAGGATCGTCAGTTCATGTGAGGGCCTTAAGTGCTGTGAAGACCGTGACTGCGTAAAAGGTATGAGCGCGTGAGGAGCATGAGTGCGCGAGGGCAGTGAGGGCCGTGAGTGCGTGACGGATGTGAGGCTAGTGAGTGCGTGATGGGCATGAGTGCATGGGGCGTGAAGATCCCGAGGGGTGTGAGGCTAGCGAGTGCGTGGGGGGCTTGAGGGCGGTGAGTGCACGAGGGTTAGGAGTGCGTGAGGGGCGTGAGGACTATGAGTGTATGAGGGGTGTAAGGGCCGTGAGGGCAGTGAGGGGCAACAGTTCGTGAGAGAACCGAGCTCGAATGAAGCGTGTGCGTTTGCGTGTGGGGTTTGTGTGAGATTATGTCTTCTCCGTGCGTCCTGATTTCATTTGAGGGCATAGATAATTTGTGAGGAGTCGAGCGGGTATTGTGACTTCTCGGAGCATCTTCTGGGAAATGGGGTTGACGCTCGCCTCGCAATAATTTCGCCGCGCGGATACTTGGTGCGGTTTGATTATTGGGTAACGAGTGAGAAAGAAGTTAGTGCTAGCTAAGGCTAGTTGTTCGGCGCCGTTTGATAGCGCGGCTTGCGCAACTAGAGTTAGGTTGGCCGTTTTCTTCGTTATGTTTGAGAGTAAACATGAAGCTCAGTCGGAATGGTCGGGAGCTCGCTCGATCGCCGCTCCAGACAGCGAGGCACCGGTGAACGGGCGACATTTTCCTGGTTAGTGGAATACCTAGACAAACCTCACTCATGAGTGCCCTCACTCACCCTCATCTTCATAGGTGAGCCGAGGGTGAGTTAGTCACTGAGCCTCGAAAATGAATGAGTGTGAGGAACGTGATGGGTGTGAGGGCGTGAGGGCCGTGAAAGCTGTGAGTGTGTCAGGGTGAGTGGAGGGCTGAAAGTGAGTGTGACTCTGAGGGTGAATGGGAGTTAGGGGCTTAGGTTGAGTGTAGTTGTTAGGGTGAGTGTGGGTGAGGGGCTGAGGTGAGTGTGGCTGTGAGGGTGAGGGTGAGCGAAGGCGGGGCCTAAAATGCCGACGTCTGCTTTCAGGACGTTGAACATCCTCCGGCCGAAAAAGGTGCTTTAAAAAGAGACAGGTAGTCCAGGAGCGAAACATCGTGGTGACCACGTTCGCCTTTGGAGCGCATCGAGAGGGCGTAGATGAACTTATCAAATGCCAACAAGCAGCGGGAGGACCTTGGAAAGGTCATGTCCGGTATCAGCCTGTTCCTTACGACACTCAGCTCTCCATAGTCCTCCCTTCATTCGACTGTCTTATTTGATGCGCGCCAGTGCACAGCATGAACTGCAAACTTTTTATCGAGTGTCCTTTTTTAATTTAAGGAGAAAGTACTCAATACATAGCTTTACGTTACTGATTCACACGAGTGAGAGATCACGCAACATGAAAGTCTAGTTATAGTAGAGCGGCGATATTGACGGTGCTCAGTTTGAAACGGAAACCGGCTGGAGGGCAAACAAATATATGTTAATACGATTTTTCACCTATTTTGAGGTGGTTTTACTAACCGAGGTTACTGCGATTGGTGGGCTTTTCCATCCCATAAGAATGAGCAGATTTTGGCGCTTATATTGATACTTTTTACCATATTTCTTTACCTCTAGTTTCTTCCCGGTTCCGCGAAGTGTCAGCGGTGTCGTTGAAATAACCATTTCAGGATTGCGATATTTCGATGAAGAGTTTGATGAAGTGAAATGCCATTTGATTCGAATACATTCTCACAATTGATTTGATTATTTTTTGAGTAAAAAGTAAGATAATAATCAAAAAATTAGAAGATGTTAGGATTTAGAGACTTGACTACGAACTCGACTTCGGGAGGGAAGCACGACGAGTGGTCGTGACGCGAAAGAAAGAAGACAGACAGAACCTGGAACAATACAGGGCTTACAATGAATTGTTCCATCATCACACGGGCTCCGTGCTGGAGAGGACATTGTCCAAAATGTCAATATGAAAATAAACAGCAGAGTTTTGCCCCTATCTCAAATACTTACTCTACTCAAGATACTGTATTTAAAATATGTTTTCATGTATCTTGGGTTCTTGCAAATACTTTTGATCGAAAGTAATTGATATCGTATTTTAATTACATATCTGAGTATCTGGTATCATTACTCACGTACATTTTTGACATTCCGCCATTTTCCGAATTTTTCGCTCTGAAGTGGCCTGGGCATGGCGCGAGCAAAATTTAACAATCTTCCGAGCAACCAAATCCTGTTGCTAACTTTGATAAGCTACGGAGACCTAGATCGAGCTCGTGAAGGCACCGGTTTTGTGCCGATTATGACTCATATTTTAACCCGAAGTTTGTACAATGAAGTTTTTCCTATCGCCTTCCCAAAGGCGCCTTTTGTTTCCTAGAGTCCCCCCCCCCTCCCTCCAATCACACGTACAAAAAAAAGCTCCTCAAACAAAAGGAGTGGTTTTATGGAAGTAAAGATTGCCACACGGAGGCGCGCAACGGAAAACAACCCACGCGAACAATACACGCTTCAGTGTCAAGAAAATTATAGATAGAAGAAAATCAGAAGTAAACACACAAAGAACACGTTGTTTTTTGTTTTTTTTGCGTGTTGTTTATTTGATTTTGCTACAATTAAACCTCGAAGTTTTTTCCGTTAGTTTGTGATCTATTGCTCTCGCGAACACTGTCTGTAACTGAACGTGATCAGCAGAGAACGGGACAGGAAACGAACTACGAGCAGGATGGCCTCTAAAACTGCCAACGTAATGTCCCCTTGAACGCAGCCTGCTTGAAGAAGGCGAGACAAGCGACCTTGCTATTATGTGGACTCTTCGTTCTCTATTTACTAATTTTCGTATCTCAAGTTAGATTTTTTTCGAACTCCCCATAAACATAATATAGATTGTAGTTATACGATGCGTCTAAGGAGCGCCGCATGACGTTACATTTCGCGATGTTGCTACGCTGAAGCGACCTCTTTTTTTATTACCCTAGATATGGTTTTCAACATGTATCAGGGATATCCTGCTCCTTATAGTTTGGCGGCACAAAAATACCAAAAATGTTTCTTTTCTGTTTTTTTTTTTGTGATATTACGTGCTAAAAAACTATTCCGGTAAACCAGATTTGCGCAACAGTGCAATTGTGTTTGTCACTGACGTCGACAAAATTTATGCAATAATATTTTCAAAAGCAGTTTAATTACATTTCTAAGTATTTTTATTCCACTCAAGATACTTTACAATTCAAGTACCTTGAGTGGTATTTTAGATGCTTTATATAGAATACATTTAGTTAAGTATATTAAATACTTTTATCGAGTATTTTGCCCAAATCTGGTAGACAGCGGTATCTAACTTGAAATATGGTCAGTGGCTTCACTAGGTAAATTGTAAAAAAATGAGCTATTACAAATCAATGCACTATCAAAAAATTAATTATCCTGTTCTCAGGAAAATCTAGTTTCTCAAAAGGTTAAAAGGCGTGAACAGAACAGGACGAAAAAAGACACACGTACGACACGGACATGTCCTGTTTTTTTTTTTGGTCCTGTTCTGCTCGCGTCATTTAGCCTATTAATCGGAATGCACCGACTAGCCCCAACCAGGGTTTTATTTCTAGTTTTTCAAGGTCGCGTCTTGGTATGCAGTTTAATAGCCGAAAAATTCGGCGATGATGAGAGCGCACGATAGAATCAACATAGGACACATAACATTTAGTGCTTTCTGTAGCATTTTGTCTGTAAAGCAGTTAACGGCCCCCTGGTACTCTGCGTCTAGGCGTCGCCTTCGCATGCGGCAGATCAAGTATCACAGAAACCATTGCCGATCGAATTGTTACACAAACCTGATAATATAAAAAAATGGTTTATAGCGATGTTACCAGACGAGTTCATTGCTGAAAAATGAGTTTATTAGATGGCGGCAACTCATAGTTTGCAGAACCTTCCTAAATGATTTGATAAATTTGTGTATAAAAAGAGCATTATAACAAGGGTAGAAAAGTGATTCTTCTGCAGTACAATTTTCATTTCTCGTGTGCAGCCTTTAACTTCTTTTCGTATGTTTATTCTTACAAGAAAGCACCGTTTAGTACATTGATATTATGACCT